CGCGTGCGACAGTCCGGGTTCGGTGGGGAGATGAATTATGGCTTGTCCAGGTTGTGTTCTCTGGCGAGTCTTTGTGTAAAGACAGTTACAGAGGGAAGAGAAGCGTTGCAGGGCTGTGAGCTGGGGGGAAAGGTGTGTTTGCCTCAAAGCAACGCGCCGGCAGGGCAGGGGGTGTTGGAGGAGGCAGCTCCTGCTGCCAGGACGGCTCTGGACCAGCCACAGGCAGATGCTGCTGCCACCTCTGATGCTCAGACTTTATGTCTGGTACTTGCATGTGTCTGCTCAGCTCCTGCCTTGAGCTTTCTGCCTCCCTTTCTCAGCTGGTTGGTGCTTGAGGCACAACCTGTTGCAGGGTGTGTTTTGTGACTGAGTCAGGCTGAGGATTTGCTCAGCTTTGTTGTACTTTCTCATTTCCTACTCTTGCTCTGTGATTTCCTGTAAACTTTGACAGAGGATTTCAGATCTGTTCTCTTGAACCTGCCCTGAGGGTGACAGGCTCTTTGTCTTGATTTTTCTTGGAGAATACTTGTCCTGACACTTTGTATTTTACTTTTTTTTTTTGGTCCTTGACTGGTTTGTGGCAGGAATAACTTTCTTCTTTCCATTTTTCCCCAGAAAACATGAAGGAAGTGAAGGAACCAAGGCATCGTAAAGACAATAGGCGCCCAGACCAGGAGATTTACAAGCCTGGTCTCTCCCGACTGAGGGGCAAGGTAGTGCTGCCTAAGCAGGAGGCTACAGAGAAGGAGAAGAGCAGAGCTGAGGAGAGTTCCAGTGACAAGGGTCTTCTGGGAGGAGGGACTTCAGTCCCAGAGGATTTTGGCAGAGCTGGTGGCCCCAGCCAGAACAGTCCTTTGCAGGAAAGTGAAGAGACAGAGGCTAAAGAGGGTCTTCACAGCCAGGAGAACTTGTCCAAGCAGCCTGCTCCAGATGAGTGGTGTCCCAAGACCACCAGGAGAACCAAGAAGCCAGACCAGCAGATCTACCAGCCTGGGAAACGGCTGCACCCAGCTGTGAAGGACCCGTCCCTGTGCTCAGCTGCTGAAGAGGTCACCAGCAGGATGGAGCAGCTGAAAGTCGAGAGAGATGAAGAGACTGAGAAAGGTACCGGAAAAGACAATCACAGGAAAACCAGATCAAACAAGGAGGATAGAGGGGGGAGCCTGGCAGGGGAAGGAGCCAGAGCCTCGAGGGGCGAGGCGGGGAAGCGCGCGGAGCGCAGGAGGGCGAGCGAGGAGGCGCTGCCGGGGAAGCTGGGCTGCCCCAAGCGCTATTCCCGCTCCGACAAGCGGCGCAGCCGGTACCGCACCTGCAGCACCAGCTCAGCCGGGAGCAGCAACAGCGTGGATGGAGTCCCCCTGGTGGATGGGGTGGAGAGGAGGCAGGAGCGTGCCAGGGAGAGGATGCGTCCTAGGAAGCAGCTTTCTGCCTCCTCCACTG